GATACAAGGATACCTTGATACCAGGATACCTGGATACCAGGATACCTAAATACCAGTATACCTTGATACCAGGATACCTGTATACCAGGATACCTGAATACCAGGATACCTAGATACCAGGATACCTGGATACCAGGATACCTGGATACCAATATACCTGGATACCAGGATACCTGGATACCAGGATACCAGGATACATGGATACCAGGATGCCTGGATTCCAGGATACCTGGATACCAGGATACCTGTATACCAGAATACCTGGATACCAGGATACCTGGATACCAGGAGACCTGGATACCAGGATACCTGGATACCAGGATACCTGGATACCAGGATACCTGGATACCAGGATACCTGGATACCAGGATACCTGGATACCAGGTTACCTGGATACCAGGATACCTGGATACCAGGATACCTGGATACCAGGATATCTGGATACCTGGATACCTGGATACCAGGATACCTGGATACCAAGATACCTGGATACCAGGATACCTGGATACCAGGACACCTGGATACCAGGATACCAGGATATCAGGATACTTGGATACCTGGACACCAGGATACCAGGATAAGGTAAAATTAAATACATCTGTTTTCTTGAAAATATTTGTACCTTGTAAAAAATACAGAACTCCTCTGCAAAGTAGCGCGACAGGCTTTCTCATGCCAAACCAGCGCCATTTCCCTTCCCTTTATTCTTATTCTCCGCTTGTAAAAAATACAGAAGATGCATACACATACATACAAATTGTATAATGTAAGGCATTTAGTCTTGAAGCTACATAGTTCTATATTGATGTAGTATAATAGTATCCTATTCTATGTTGTATAACAGTATCCTGTGCTGTTCTAATCCGTCATACCTTTATTATCTTATATATTCATCTATTCAGCTAAACAAACCATCTATCTATCTATCTATATATATATTTACTATTTTTCTAGCTATCTATCTATGTTCCATCCACCCCCTATTATCGTCTGAACAAAAAGACAAAACATGGTTCGTGCCCCAACCTCAACCTTAAGGGTCAAATAGGCAAAGTTTTACATCGTTAATTACATTTTCAACCTCATTTTTATCTTATTTTTAAATTAAGATTTTCTCAATTTGTTTGATTTTTTTGTTTTAATTTGATCGATTTGCGATGATTTCGGGTTAAGCCTAAAGAAAGGCGGAGCCCTATATTTTTACTGCAAGTAATGGGGTAGAAAATCATGGAATTGGATTCAAGCTGCAAAGGGGGAAAAATAATTAAATAATTAAATAATTAAATAATTAATATCGAATAAGATTGAATTGAATTAAGTATTCTGCGTTAACTATTGTTGTTTTATATCTTATTTATTGGTTCGGCAAAGAAAGAAACAAGTTTATATATTGTTGCAAGGAATCTAAGGAAACAGACTGTTAAATCCCATACAGCAGTAGTAGTGTCTGAATTATCATCCTTTGTAGGTAACCCTGTATATGTATATGTGGGTAACCCTGTATATTGCAGAATGCAAACCCAATGTCAAATTAAATAGTATTAACCCACTTTTTTTAAAATAAAAAATAAACAACATTTTTTACTATCGATTTTGATGGTTATTATATCGTTAGAACTGACGAGGGTAAACCCAGACTTAAATATATTTTCAATAAAATGTGGAACTAACATCTACTTTTTTACTTTACAGAGGTTTGGTCCATCAACATCACCGAATTAAAACAAATATACAGATAGATAAATACATAATATATAGTTAGGTAGATATGGAAAAGATAGATAATTAGAGAAATAGAAAAATAGATGGATAGAGATAGATAGACAGTTATAAAGATAGAAAGATAGATAGTTAGAAAGATATATATTTAAAAAGTTAGAAAGATAAATAGAAAGACACGCATACAGATAGATAGATATTTTGGGTTGTGCTATTGCCTATTCAGATCTATTGTAAAAAAATAGAGTCATTTTCTGTTCAGGGCTGTAACAAAATAACAAAATTGAATAAAATTTTTTTAAAAAATTATTAAAAAATCTATTTTTTTAAATGTACTTTTTTAAAGTGAATTTAAAAGGGAAGGTAGGTTCATCCCTGTCTTGAACCCGAACCAACGCAACACAAAGGAAATACTTGGAGAGTATTGGCGACCACAAAAAAGTAGAAAAAAAGACAAAAATGTAATAATTCACTTGAAACGTAAAGCCGGCTGTCTAAAAGAGGACAATGAGGTTAATAAAGTAATTTTAAAATAGGTATTAACCTATCATATTAGGACTGTTCAAACTATAGGTATTAACCTATCATATTAGGACTGTTCAAACTATAGGTATTAACCTATCATATTAGGACTGTTCAAGCTATAGGTATTAACCTATCATATTAGGACTGTTCAAATTATAGGTATTAACCTATCATATTAGGACTGTTCAAACTATAGGTTTTAACCTATCATATTAGGACTGTTCAAACTATAGGTATTAACCTATTTTAATAGGACTGTTCAAACTATATGTATTAACCAATTATAATAGGACTGTTAAAACTATAGCTAGGTATTAACCTATTATAATAGGACTGTTCAAGCTAAATTTATGAACCTATTATTATAGGTTTAAAAGTTAATAAAGGTTGTTAAAGTAATATTTTTTAAGTAGCTCTTTTTTGAGCGGCCATTTATCATGATACTATGAAAAGAAAAAAAAATGTTGGCGAAATATTCTGTTTAAACTGGTGAATTAAAAAAAATGATAAATATGGAATATTTTATTCCGGGCAATTCTGGATATGTACTGTACAGCTTGCGCTAGCTACTTAAATGTCAGTCATATAATTAAATGAACCGAAGTATATCATCGTTTTCTGTTGCAGAAGAAGGAGTATGTTTCCTGTTGCAGAAGAGGGAGTATGTTTCCTGTTACAGAAGAGGGAGTATGTTTCCTGTTACAGAAGAGAGAGTATGTTTCCTGTTGCAGAAGAGGGAGTATGTTTCCTGTTACAGAAGAGAGAGTATGTTTTCTGCTGCAGAAGAGGGAGTATGTTTCCTGTTACAGAAGAGAGAGTATGTTTCCTGTTGCAGAAGAGGGAGTATGTTTCCTGTTACAGAAGAGAGAGTATGTTTTCTGCTGCAGAAGAGGGAGTATGTTTCCTGTTACAGAAGAGAGAGTATGTTTTCTGTTGCAGAAGAGGGAGTATGTTTCCTGTTACAGAAGAGAAAGTATAGTTCCTGTTACAGAAGAGGGAGTATGTTTCCTGTTTCAGAAGAGGGAGTATGTTTCCTGTTACAGAAGAGAGAGTATGTTTCCTGTTGCAGAAGAGGGAGTATGTTTCCTGTTACAGAAGAGAGAGTATGTTTTCTGTTGCAGAAGAGGGAGTATGTTTCCTGTTACAGAAGAGGAAGTATGTTTCCTGTTACAGAAGAGGGAGTATGTTTCCTGTTACAGAAGAGGGAGTATGATTCCTGTTACAGAAGAGAGTGTATGTTTCCTGTTACAGAAGAGAGAGTATGATTCCTGTTACAGAAGAGAGAGTATGTTTGCTGTTGCAGAAGAGAGAATATGTTTCCTGTTACAGAAGAGGGAGAATGTTTCCTGTTGCAAAAGAGGTAGTATGTTTCCTGTTGCAGAAGATGTAGTATGTTTCCTGATACAGAAGAGAGAGTATGTTTCCTGCTACAGAAGAGAGAGTATTTTTGCAACTTAATTACTAGAAAGTGCCGATGAGGACGAACAAAGAATTGTGATGCAATGAAGGGCGCACTATTGGGGACGCACATAAGTGTGACATATGGACATACATTCTTGAATAATTCCTCGTAGACCCCCCTAACATTATCAATATCAAACTAAAAGACACTGGAGTTTATTTCTATATATATTTTATTGCACGCCTCTAACTTTGTGTTGTATAATGATTTATACAGTTCAGTTGTACAGCATATACATATGTATACTGTACACTGTACATTGTACATATTACAAGTTACAGTGGTAGAAAATTAAAGAACAACTAATATTTAAGCAATTATTAAACAAAAGTTCAAAAGCCTATGGACGAAATCAAGAGAATAAAAAAGAAAAAAAAACATTAAGAAATATGTTATTGTATTTTGATTTGAACTGGAAATTTGAAGATTTGATATAAGATTTTAAGTATTAACATGTAAACCTGTTTATGTTCTTAGCTCTTGCATTACTAGAAATAAGCATATTTGTTAAAAACTGAATCAAGATTTTTTTCTAAATTGATATTTCCTCCAACGAAAAAATAATTTACAATTTAAAATACCAGTAAATAAATCTTTGCTAACAATAAAGTGTTAAGCTACGTTTGTCTTTCGATTTTCCTGTTTTTTTGTTGATATATATTTACTAAAGAAAGGCTGTTTTTTTAATGTAATTAAATAATTTTTTTTAACAACAAAACAAAGGCTGTCTAATACACAAATACAATCAAAGCCTGTAAAAAGCGGAATCACAATCATCTTTGTTTAATCGAAATATCTGAAGTAGTTTGTCTGTCTCATCATAGCTCACGAACCCTTTGACGGATTTGCCTCAAATTTCGGCTGAACCATGGAAATGTCCATAAAGCTGACTAGGTCAAATTTTATAGGGAAAACTTTTATTCGAGGCAATGCTGGGTTTCCAGGAATAAAGCTTAACATTTTTTATCTGAAAATGTTCATAGCACATTTTCAGAGTTATTCCATGAACAAAAAATTAAATAATTAAATTATTAAATTAAAAAATTTAATAAAAACGACTTTAATTCCGCTTTATACTGGTAATGAATACAGATGGACAGTGTTTTGAGGTCCGTTCCAAAAGTTTTTTTTTACTTTTACGAGACTCTACAAGAATCTTATTCCATTTTAAAATTGAATATTTTATAAGTTTTTGTTTTTACATTGTGATATTAACCAACCAGATTTTTCAAACGGTTAATAAAATCATTCTGATAAATCGCTTTTAAAAATGTTAATATCTGTGACACAGAAATAAGTTTGCAAATGTATATTTTCGAGAATACAATTTTATTATTTGAAATTTGACCTGCAAACGATATACATCCCTAGTTACGACTGTATGTTAGCTTGAAACTGGTTTTCTACCGATAAAAACTAAAAAGAACTCCTTAGAGGGCTCACAGCCTTTTTAAACACATTGTATATTTATTTTAAAATAAAATAAATAAATTGAAAATTCGTTGAAGAAAAAAATAATATTTTGTGCTTTAAAATGCAGAATGAAAATATATTGCAGAATTTATATATTTATTGCATCTTGTTGAAAGCCCTGATTGCTTTGCATTTGTTTACATTTAAAGGGATTGTAAACGGAATTTCAAAAAAACCTTCATTTTTAGAGTGACGGGTTCGATCTTTCATCTGAACAATGTTGTCCATGTTTTTTTAATCTTAAATTTGATTATATTCAGTTGCGGTTTCCTAACAGACCAACTTGCTGATTTATTGAGCAGAGAAAAAATTTCACCGTTGTGAATCGGACCTGTGTAACACTTTGAATTGAAGTTCACTTCAAATTTCGTGGACAATCCCTTTACATAACTTTTACATAAAATATTAATTTTTAAAAGTGTAATTCTTTACAATTTAAGGCAAATTTTGTGTGTATCTGATCATCAAAAGTGTAATACATTTGTACATATGTACATATGTACAAATGTAAATATGCACAAATGTACATATGTAAAAATGTACATATGTACAAATGTACATATGTACAAATGTACATATGTACAAATGTACATATGTACAAATGAAGAAAAGTAACAAAGTTTAAGAATTTTCAACGTTTCAATATTTTGAATTTAAACTTTTCTCAAGCGTCTTTTGTTAAACTGAAAGTGCACTTTAAACAATTCACTTTAAAAAACATTTACATTCGTTAGATATTTTAGCAACGGCTATTTAATGTACTATGCACATTTAAATTTAAGCTAAACCCTTGAAACAACGAGCTGAGCCTCTTGAAACTGGAATTTTTCACGATTTTGAATTGAAATCACTATTTTCTCTTGAAATCATGCGGTTGCCCCCGCAACTATAGAGTTCTGCATTGAAGGGGATGGTGCAGAAAACATGCCATGTGTAGACTGTAAGTGCGGCATTATTCCCTGATTTCCGGTCGGCATGGATCCCATGTACATCCCACCCATGCCGGCATGCATGTACTGACTCATCATCCCCGACATGGGAGACATCTGGTGGTAATATCCTGACATAGGTCCGCCCATACCGCCAGAGCTGAAGTTGTACCGACCGTCAAAACCGGTTTGGAAAAACTCTGCCATGTTGGATTTTTTCTTTTTTGATTTTGTGGAAAGTTTTCGGTTTCGGGTTTGAATTCCTTCCTTCTTTAAGGTCACGGGTCGCTCAACCTGAAATACACAAAATTAAATAAAAATCTTTTAAGATAAATTTAAAAATTGAATTTTAAAAACTAAATTTTTTTTTTTAAATATCTGATTTAGAAACTTTATTTTTAATGAAACGTATTAAAAAACTTCTAATTTAGTAAAACAAATAATTTTGCAAGAAGTGTTAAGAAAATAGAAAAAACAAACTCTTTTTTTTCAAAATGCAGGCCTTCATATCTCAATTTAATTCACAGGTTTACAAATGTAAAGAGTATTAAATAACTTCATGCTGAACTACATTAACAAGATATTCTTTTTATCAAAAATGGTTTAAAATATAAGATGAAACCCTGGTTCCCCTTAGTACCCCCCCACCTCCCTTTACATATAATAATTCCTTCCCTCTCATTTTATTTTATGATTATATTATACGTTTAATCATAATACATACTTTATACGTTCTCTACACTTGATACTTGATACAGAACAACCAAAATATCTTCCTCTCTCTTGTCTTTTTAGCATTTTTCTTTCTATCTATCTATCTATCTATCTATCTTAAAACTGAATACAAATCTATCTTTATCATGTACTAGCTTGGGAACCCAGCGCTGCCAAGGTAACTCAAGTTATTCTCGCCGTTTACCCGCTCTTGAGCGATTATACCTGGAAGCTAAATTTTTGCTTTTAAAGTCGATCCACTAAACTTAGAATCTAAAAACCAAGCTTAGAACATTCCCGTGGGTCTCCCCAGTTCCCCAATCCAAATTTGAGGCAAATTGGTCCAAAGGTTCCTGAGTTATGATCGAAAAAATGAACAGACAGACAGACAGAGAGACAGACACCAAGACACACCAACAGATATTACACCTTTATTTACATAAATTTGTCATTATCAATTTCTATCTATCTTTCTTTCTTTCTCTCTTTCTATTTATCTATCTATCGTTCTATATTTCTCTAATCTACCTATCTATCTATTTATCTATCTATCTCACTATCTATCTCTCTATCTATGTATCTATCCAGGCATCCATTATTACATCTCCTATCTGGATTTAGATCAAAACAAACATCCTAGAAACAGACGCACACTACACTTTACACACACACACACACACCACACTTGCACAGTTACAGTTTAAAGTCAGGACTATGAACTGTAGGATTCGTTAAAGGTACAGGACTGTAGACGTATTTTCACGTGACCAGTCATTTGAAGAGTTGCATATCCGATTCACTACGGTATCCTTCTACACCTTCGTTTCAGTATAAATGACATCTATGTTTTTCTGTCTGAAAATTGATGATTTATTTTTTTGAAAAAATATCTAATTTATTTGATAAAATATAAAAAGGGACTGTGTAAGGAAGGAAGCTTGTGCTTGACATTCTTTCATGAAACGATTCATGTCGGTTTTTAAATTTTACATGTTTCATTCATTAAGTATTTGATGAAGAAACACTGTTTCTAGGTTAGTTTAAACATATTATTCTTTTTAGATGCAATGTATTAATGTATTCATGTATTAATGTATTAATGTAATAATGTATCAATGTATTAATGTATCAATGTATTCATGTAATAATGTATCAATGTATTAATGTATTAATGTGATAATGTATTAATGTATTAATGTATTAATGTATTGATGTATTAATGTATTAATGTGATAATGTATGAATGTATTAATGTATTAATGTATTAATGTGCACTTTTGTAAAGTTTTAACAAATTTTAGTTCATTTTGGGCATTCTAAGGTCCCCTCTTCTCCCCCCTTGTCCCCTATCAATCAGTGAATCTAGTATATAACGACTCTCAACTGTAATCTGAAAATCCATCGCAAGCGAGGGAGGGAAGGCGGAACTAGCTTTCTAGACACTTGACTCTCAACTGCGGTTCATGGAAGTATAGGACCGACGTTTATACAGCTAGAGCCAGCTGAACAGTACGGATATAAATACGTAAATACTTTAGATAGCGATACGGGAAGTACAGTGAATAATTCATCTCCTTTTAGTGAAATTAGTGGGAAATATGTTAATTATAGACATTTTAAACATCTTATTGTTACGGTTAATAATTACAAAAAGACAGAATTTCTAAATTATTTACATTAAAGAGTCGAATATGTTTATGTCAATATAATATTTTTGCGGAAGATTATTAAGAGTTTGAGGTTCAGGTGAATTTACCTTCCCTCCCTCGTTTACCTATCTGTACATCTATCCAATATTTGGTGAAATAACTTACATTTTTTACAGGACACATTGCTTCACGTACACACACACAGTCAGACACTTAGACATAGACAGATGTATGTATACTTAGACAGCTGGACAAAAAAGACAAAAGAACGATTTTCCAAATTGGGTAAAAAAGACAAAGTTTTAAACATTTTGTTCCTATTTTGAGTAAAAATATGTGTGACAAACAAAACGACTTTAAATTGTTCGTTAAACAACAATATTCGAACTTATATTCAAGCATTTTATTTTTCTTTAACAAATTACATTTATCACAAAAAACAAACCCTAAATCGAAATTATATACATAATGCATTAATTAAATAAGTTAAATTTTAATGCAAAATTTAAAAAAATCTTTACTAAAAAAGGTTTATTTAACACTAGTTGATATGGGCTTATGAAGAAATAAAGATTTAAAACCGTTCATTTTTTTCATTGAAATCTTTTAAATGGTTTGATCCAAGGCCAGAAATGGATCTATTTGCCGTTTTAATGGATCTATTTGCCACATTTTTTCTAAAAAAGTATTAAAGAATTTTTACCATTATTTAACGTTTCTGAACGATGAGTTTTTAGGACAAATCTTATGATACTATTAGAAAGTAAAAAAAATCGCTTAAACTTTCAACATTTATTACGCAATTTATTTTTTGAAATTTTCTTTTAATTTTCAAAATCATTTGTTAAGGGCCCAGGCCCCTTCTGATATTTTATCTGTTAAAAGAATGAAATTGGTTCTCATCTTGTTTTCTACATGTTGTGCTGATCCAAGGTTGTAATGCAAGGAAAGTTAATTACGGTCGCGTATATTAAAGCTATTTCTCTCTGGGCGGACTTTGCAAACAAGAATAGATGCATCAGTGTTCGTTTAGTATCCTAGGAGGTTAAAAGCATTTAATTTTGATAATTTTGAAAGGCTGTGACATCCATCTTGTGTTTACTTTTCCGCCCAAAGACAGTATACTGCAGTACAAAAATAACTTTCTTTGCATTAGTACCTTGTGCTGACCCATCTAGTGTAAACTAATCTCTTTGGTCCAGATGCATCCTTGTAAATTCATCTATCTATCATCTTATTTTTCAAAACAAAGTGTATCTATAAAGTTAATCTATTGTAAACAGTAGCGGATGGGTTCTGCATATTTTCCTGTTTTCCTGTTTATGGGGTAAACACTGATGCACTCAAGGTTATAATGCAAGGAAAGTTATGTTAGAGGTGTACGCATCTTTTTTACTCCAGTGTACTGTCTCTGGGCGGTAATGTAAAACAAGACGGATGTCGAAGCCTGACATGGGATCCATCTTTCACATAAAAATCAATGAAATGTTCTGGACCTAAGAAACTATTCTGTGAATTATCAAAATTATCAAAATTTTATGCTTTTAATCTCCTAGGATACTAGAGTAATACTGATGCATCTATTCTTGTTTACCAACACAGTCCAGAGAGAACTGGTTTTAATATGTACGCAGAGTATACGCAACTGCAATTAACTTTCCTTGCATTATAAACTTGGATCCACCAAGCATAATGCGCTATTTAACTTTAAACATAAAGTTAATTTCATTTTAGTTTATTTGTTGTTATACTGGACCATGCTCAAGACAGCTATAATAAGTTAGACACGTAAAATTAAAGTAAAATTGAATTTAGATTGAAATCATTAATGTTTTCAATTAAAAATCCTGAAAATCAATTGAAAAGTGTACAAACATGTTTTGGATTTATAATAAACATAAACATATAATTTGCTTCTCCCATGCTTAAAAACTAGAGGACTAACAAAATCAGTAATTAGTAGTGATGCCATATCAATTCAACATTCTCCTTCGTGAAGAATTTTTGCTCGTCTTCCAACATGGTCGTAGCGTACCTTACCTAGAAAGTTTATTTCAACCCCTTTATTTAATTTCTAAATTTCTAATTTTTTTTGGTTTTAATCTGCAAACATTGATTTTACACATTTGATTTTTTGGGATTAAATAATGCATTTTCTTACAACTATAATCAAAACGGAAAACCAAAAAATGGTTAGTTCAGCGTACAAGTTGGCTTAGTNGAATCCGGGGTTCAATTTGTACAGGGGCTAAAACTAAGCTAAAAAAGGGGTTCTTACAGCTATCACACACATTTTCGAAATAACCAAAAAAAGCCTCGCCCTCAAATAAAAAAAATATAAAAAAGCAGAAAAAAATGTTTTTTTTTAACCTGGAAGCAAACACCCCTGTAAAGGGTTTTATATAAAAGCTGATATTAAACCTTAACTTCGCGTGCCGGTAGTTCATAATCATGTACTCATCTATCTATCTAGCTAGCTATATATCTATCTATCCATCTATCTAGCTATATATATCTATCTATCTGCCTATCTATCATTATGTCTTTATATATATGTATATGTGTTTACGTAGCTATCTTTCTTAATGTGTAAACCTATATTTTTTTTCTATACTTACATTATGTAGTTTGAAGTATAGACCACAGGCATTACAGACAGGTTCACCGTTCTGATTCCTTCTCCATAGAGTTGTGTTGATCGTCTTGCAGTTCGTACAGTTCGTCCCTTCACGACGAGATGCAGACTAAACAATAGATAGATAGATAGATAGTTTGATAGATAAATAGAAAGATAGATAATCCGATAGATGAATAGATAGATATATAGTTAGATGGATGAATTGATTTATAGATACTATAGTTGTAAATAGATATCTAGATAGCTAGATAGATATCTAGATAGATAGATAGTTAAAAAGATTGTTAGTTAGATACGTATAAAGACAGATAGTTACAGATATTTAGATATAGTTAGATAGATAGATGGTTTGACAGATAGATATTTGGAGCGACAAATAGTTAGACCGAAATATATACTTTTAAATAGATAGATTTTCAGAAAGATAGATAGTTAGATTTTAATGTGAGAAGGATTACCCATAAAGAATAATACTTTATTGGCAACCTAAAAATAGAATAGTTAAGTAGATATATAGCTTCATAAGAATAAAACATAAATAGATTTATTAAAATATGTATGCATATATTTTAATTGAAAGGACTGGTAGTAAAGTGAGTAAGGAAAGATAATTATGAATTTTAAGATTGAAGAACTCATTGACCCGACTAACCAACTCCCCATCAGACAACCAGTGGACCAGGGGGGCTGTCAGGTTAGATTAGAGGTTAGCTTACGTAAACATGGGAACTAAGGATGGTTTTAGGTATTCTCAGGTTTGTTAGGCAGGAATTTTTAAATTGAGGATAAGGAGATGAGTAGCGAGGGNTGTGGGGGTGAGTAGGGGGCTATCTATAAGGGCGGGTAGGGGGTAAAAGGTGGTCATGATAAGAGGGGAAGGAAATGTAGGAAGTAATTGGGAAGACATATGAAGAAGGGAAGGAAACGGAAAGAAATTGAAAGGTAGGAAAGTAAATGGGAAAAATTGAAAAGGGGGCGGGGGAGTTAATGGGAAATGGTAAAGAAAGGAGATGAGGAGGTAAATAAATGGAGGGAAGAGAAGATGGGAAAGGAAAAAGTGTTGAGGAAGTGAGGAAGTGAGGGAAGAGAAGAACAGATGAATTAAGAATGGAAGGAAAAAGATGGGAAAGGAAGTGAAGGGATGGGAAGGATGAAAAAAGAAACCTGACTCTGAGATTTAAATGTATAAAAAGCTAGATATATAAAGGGGAATAAAGGCTGTCTACACTCTACACTCCAAACTGAGGGGTAGATTAATTACACCGATAAAAAAAGTAAAAAAAACTTTTCTCATTTTTTAAAAAGGTTTTGGAAAAAAAGACATTTATACAATTTTTTTTTTGTAAAACCCCAAACCTTATTTTTTACCTTATTTATGTATCTACCCTTTCAGCTCCTTTGTCTGGGAAATGTATAATGCTTCCCTGTATTTCCGCCCAATTAAATTAGATCTAGCTATATTGTGGGAATCAAGCTCATTATGCAATCTTATCTTATAAACTTCCACAAAGAATTGTCTTTAATTCAGATCAAAAAATTGTTTATTTAAACATAAAATAGAAAAATTCCCTAATTCTTTAATAAAACAGGAACGGAACACATAAAAATATTTTTTTAATCGTCATTTTTTTGCCACAAAATGGGAAACTTTTAATTCTGCTGATTAAATAGTCAAAGATCGAAATTTTAAAGGTTTACGCCATCAGGCTGCAAAGATAAAAGAAAAAGAAAGGACATTTTTAAACAAGTGTGCAGTTCCTATGTGTATCATTTAAAACATCAAGTAAAATTTAAAAATCTTTAAAATCAAAAACAGACCAAAAAGTAAGTTGGGCGCTGAAACGTTATGTCTGTATTTGTTACTGTATGACTTTCGAAGGAAGGCCACCCATATAGATTTATAAACGACAGCGCTTGTTAAATGAAATCATTTTTCAAATATTTCTCGAACAGAATTAAATCTGAAACATGAGCCAATGCTTATCTGTCTGCCTATCTGTCTGTTTATCTAAATGTTTCAAGTTACATGCGCGCACGTTTCAATTCTAAATTCCAAGTCTGGTGCAATTGAAGAAACGCGCGTTAGAACTTAGATACATATAAACGCGCGTGGAAGATTTTAAACAATTTAGGTTGGTCGGCGCACGTGCACTTTACATAACGAACAGTGTTGGGACGTATAAAAAGGGTTCTTTGTTCAAGCTTCGAGTTCAAAAGTCAATAAATAAGAATTTAAAACCTAAAACCCTTCAAATTCGGCATTTTTAAACTGCCAGCCATATGTATACATACAACGTACGGAATGTTTCGAGCAATTTGATGAAATATTGAAGAAAACTCACTGATAGGAAGCTGAATGCTGAAAGTATGGATTTGAAATATTTTCGTAGATTTTCTGAAATTCTTCCGCGGATTACGGGGTTTTGTGAAAATCCGCGAATTATTTTTGTTTTGTTTTACGATGTACACAAAGAGAACATGTTCACAACTAATTTAGAAGATGGGCGCGAAGCGCCTACAAAGGCTAGTAGTCTAAAATTTAACAAATGTATGCAGTTTATAAACAACTACATAACTCAAACAGTAAATGAAAATGTTTTGAGTGTCTGAAAATAGTCTAAACTAATTCTAAAAGGCTTTACAAGTATGAATTTCAAAAAGATCAACGTTTTTTCTTAAATTGTGAAATTTTGTTCTGTGCCAAAAACTGTTATGAAACAGTTATATGTTGGTTCAGACTAAGGGCAGCGTGTTCAAATCTAGCCTATTCTCTAGGCGCCAGACTTTTGAAACAAGATTTAGGAAAAATAAAACTTTTTCCCAGAACTAAACACATTTTTAGAGTGGTCTCAAATATTTTTAAATTGACAAAAGGAATTTTGGGGGGTCATCGGTTAAGAAGAGAAGGGGAAAGNTTGCAAATCTCCAGGTGGAATTTGGTTAATTTGAAAAGAAGACATTTTAAAGCAGTTTGTCCTATTCAGTGCCTTGGTCAAACCCAGTGGTAAAATACAGAATTAGTTGAATAGACCGGAAAATATATATAGACAGATACCCCACATTCATACACAGATAGATAGATAGATAGATAGATAGATAGATAGATAGATAGATGGATAGATAGATAGATAGATATATAGATAGATAGACAAACAGGTGTATTGAAGCTTTAACACAGAAGCTCTAAGATGAAAGACTGGATTATTGTTATTGTAAATTTAGCAGTTTATGGAATTAGATTAGGGTATGTTTTATATATATACCTATATAGTATACTATTCAATAGATGGAAAGGGACTGTTCCCATGATTTTAAGGTCCAGGTTGATATTAAGTAAGTGCCAGAAATAAAGAGTTTTTTCTAATTTTATAACAACACTAGGTTTTACAATTAAAGATTGCAGTTAGAACTTTAAAACCAACATTTTTCCTTGAAAAATTCAAGAAATGTTTAATATGTGCCCCCCCCCCCCTCCTTCGCCCCCTGTGGCTCCCCTGCCGCCCCCTGGACAAGTAGGCAGTAAATACAGGTTGACACACTGTGGATGGAAGTTGGGAGGGTTGTGGACCACCTCTTAATTACAACCTGACCCGAAATATCGGGGGGGACAGAATACGACCCTGGGTGGCTCCCAAAGTCATCAATTAATTAACTCATTCATTGAGTCATTCATTCCGCGCTTCGTTATCCCCTGGACCCCATACCACAGTTTTCAATTTCTTGAAAATAATCTTTTCATTTTTTTTTATTTTCTGTTTTTTTCAGATCGTATGTAAATCAAGTTTCTATTTTCTTAACATTTTGATTTTAAATCTAAAGCCTAATTGGAACTATTAATGTTATTGACCATATATTTTTGGAGTACATGTCAGATTTACAACGATACACTTTAAACCTAAATTTAAGTGACTAAAGCAGCGATGAGAAAGATATTGCCGTTTTTTCTGAAAAAAATATAAGTATCTGTTACATAAATGCGCAAAAAAGCGCAATTGAAAATCATCAACTTTCAGTTTAACTCAGGGTACTGTTGTGAATCAGGTATACAAGAGTTCACTTGAAATTGAGTGAAAAGACTCTTTAAACTAGAAGAGAGTTAAACCCCCTGAATGTTCATGATATATCCTTATATCTCTAATTTCCCCTAGTTTAAACTAGAAGAGAGTTAAACCCCCTGAATGTTCATGGTAAATCCTTATACCTCTAATTACCCCTAGTTTAAACTAGAAGAGAGTTAAACCCCCTGAATGTTCATGATATATCCTTATATCTCTAATTACCCCTAGTTTAAACTAGAAGAGAGTTAAACCCCCTGAATGTTCATGATATATCCTTATACCTCTAATTTCCCCTAGTTTAAACTAGAAGAGAGTTAAACCCCCTGAATGTTCATGATATATCCTTATACATCTAATATCCTCTAGTTTAAACTAGAAGAGAGTTAAACCCCCTGAATGTTCATGATATATCCTTATACCTCTAATTACCCCTAGTTTAAACTAGAAGAGAGTTAAACCCCCTGAATGTTCATGATATATCCTTATACCTCTAATTTCCCCTAGTTTACTAGAAGAGAGTTAAACCCCCTGAATGTTCATGATATATCCTTATACCTCTAATTTCCCCTAGTTTAAACTAGAAGAGAGTTAAACCCCCTGAAAGTTCATGGTAAATCCTTATACCTCTAATTTTCCCTAGTTTAAAACTGTGCAAGAACTAGTATTGCATGATGAGGTTGAATGGTAAACTATGGTAAACTATTTACCGGCTCGTGGGCTAAACCAATGTGCGCAAAGCCAAGGGTAGGGGAGATGTATTTACAAATGTAATTGTAATAAAGGTAGGTGAGCTTTAGTGTGTGAACATATTTTATTGTGACCAATAGGAGCTAGTTTTATCAAAACAATAACAAAGGTTGCAAATAAAAGATCTGACATTTCTTGAGCAAAGAAGAAATGTCGTTTATTTGCAATATTCTATACTTCTGAACAGTTACTAATACAGGTTAGATACCCCCTCCCCTCTCCCGTCAGTTCACCACACATTGAATTTAAGAAAATCCTCACCTTGATTCTACAAACATTGAATTTAAGAAAATCCACACCT